GTGGGTCCCATGGAGGTTGAAATTGTAGACCCTGAAAATGAAATTTCCTCATGGTTTTATTTTTTATTTTGCATTGTCCTAGATAGAGAATTGATATTTCATATATTAATGCAATGATTCAGAATGATAAAGTGAGGGTGGTGCAGACTCTGCTTTTTGTTGAAGGAATTAATACACTCCTGCAGACACTCTTTGGAACCCGGTTACCAACAGTGATAGGAGGATCTTATGCATTCATGGTCCCCATTATATCCATAGTTCATGATTCGTCATTGACAAAGATAGAGGACCCACATTTGGTTAGTACATTTTTTCTAATCTTTGATTAGTACATTTCAATTATAAGTTGATGATGATTCTATTAATTATGGACAGAATAACCCATATAAACAATGAAAATAATTGTTTGTGATCCTAAACCAATTCATGTTTAGAAGTTCAAGGTTTCACTATAAAATTACATCTAATACTTCTCCACAAAATGTAAGGCATGCACATTATATTGAAATTGTCTGCTTGCCATTTATTAAGTGAAAAACAATTGTAAGTTGATGATGATTCTATTAATTATGGACAGAATAACCCATATAAACAATGAAAATAATTGTTTGTGATCCTAAACCAATTCATGTTTAGAAGTTCAAGGTTTCACTATAAAATTACATCTAATACTTCTCCACAAAATGTAAGGCATGCACATTATATTGAAATTGTCTGCTTGCCATTTATTAAGTGAAAAACAATTGTAACCTATATAGGTAGAATGTATGAGTTTAAGCATTTACTAATGCTCTTTCATTTATCTCCAGAGATTTATTAACACCATGAGAGCAGTCCAAGGTGCAATGATAGTAGCATCAAGCATACAAATTATTTTGGGCTTTAGTCAATTATGGGCCATTTGTTCTAGGTAAGCTCTTCTATGAGAAATGCATAGATTTTCTCTTTGACCAAGAATGAAGCTTGAATCCAAATTCTTTTCTCTATACATCAAATAATTACTGTCTTCTTCCCTTTTTTTATATTTTCAGGTTTTTCAGCCCGCTTGGAATGGTTCCAGTAATTGCATTAGTTGGTTTTGGTTTATTTGACCGAGGGTTCCCTGTGGTATAACAATAACTCCACATGTCAATAATACAAGCTTTCCGAATGTCTTAGTTCTCTAAGTTTAAATTCATTTCTTCTTTGCTCATATTGTTTAGCATTACTGTTTTGAATCTTTTTACAGGTTGGTCATTGCGTTGAAATTGGAATTCCCATGTTAATTCTGTTTGTAGCCTTCTCTCAGGTACTAATCAAATTCGCTTTTATGCAAGCAAGCTAATCAAATTAGCCTGTGACAACCAAAAAAGGGAATGAGTATTTCAAATATCCATAGTGAACTTTTGATGCTTCACATTAATCCAATGCAGTCCTTTTACAGAAACGTTCTTAAACAAAATGGCTTTAAATTTGAAAGCTTATATAATAAGTATTTATAGTGTGAGGGGTCCAAAGAAGGGCTTTTGTTGTCAATGTCCAATATTTGCTCTATTGAAAATATATAAGTATAATAATTGTGTTACAATATCTGGTGTATGCAGTACTTGAAAAATTTTAATGCAAGACAATTACCAATACTAGAGCGATTTGCTCTACTTATATCAACAACAGTGATATGGGCATATGCACATCTCTTAACAGCAAGTGGAGCATACAGACACCGACCAGAATTAACCCAACATAATTGTAGAACAGACAAGGCTAACCTTATTTCTTCTGCTCCATGGTTGGTACCAAAAGCATCACTTAAATAATAGTTGATTTTTTTTTTTAATCAAAATTTAGGTACAGTAACCCAAATGACTCTTCAACATGTTGCATGCAGGATAAAGATTCCATACCCTCTGGAGTGGGGTGCTCCTACATTTGATGCTGGTCATGCTTTTGGAATGATGGCTGCTGTTTTAGTCTCCTTAATTGAGGTATTATATTTACAGAACACCATGATTGAAATTCAAATCTGTTGTTGACTAATTATATTTAAAAATAAAAAAATAAAAACCTGACAGTCAACTGGAGCATACAAAGCAGCATCACGACTTGCAAGTGCAACACCACCTCCTGCTCATGTTCTGAGCCGTGGTATTGGTTGGCAAGGAATTGGAATCTTGCTGAATGGCCTTTTTGGAACACTTACTGGCTCAACAGTTTCTGTGTAAGTTGATATTCTTCGTTGTTTATAGTTTTCACCTTTATGGAACACACATTGATTCTTATAGGATCATAATAACAGAGAGAATGTGGGGCTTCTTGGAAGCACTCGTGTTGGAAGTCGAAGGGTCATTCAAATTTCAGCTGGCTTTATGATATTCTTCTCAATGTTAGGTGAGTTGCAAACTGTGTGGTATATTAATCTTGCATAACTAGATATTAACATCCTTTCACAATTTTTATTTCATAATTTCGGTCTTTTCTTCAGGAAAATTTGGAGCCTTTTTTGCATCAATACCCTTCCCCGTTTTTGCTGCTGCATACTGTGTTCTGTTTGGCCTTGTGGGTGAGTATAACCATTTCATTCACCTTCGATTTTATTTGGCATTCTCTTTGCTTCGTCTCTCTTTTTATGACAATAGGTTTTTTTTGTTTTTCAGCTTCTGTAGGTCTATCTTTTTTGCAGTTCACTAACATGAACTCAATGAGGAACCTCTTTATTACTGGCGTTGCCCTTTTCTTAGGTTTTTCTGTTCCTGAGTATTTCAAAGAATACACTGCCAAGGCCCTTCATGGTCCTACTCATACAAGGGCTGGATGGGTGAGTTTGTTGTTTTTTAATATATTTCTATTATCTGGAAAGTTAACTCACTCTTAAGGCATCCATAGAGCTACAGTTGCAAGTACACAAGTCTTAGGAGGATTTTTATTTAGATTCATAAATTACAACGCTTAAATATTACATATTGTTATTTCAATCAAAAGAGAATGGAAAAGAAACAAAAATTGTAGGATATTTCTAGCAAACTAATGAAGTAAGATTGAACCAGTGGTTACTATCTTGCTATATTTGCTTGCTATATATATATCTGTCAAGATGCATGCACTGATTTGTATCACATATATCTCACTGTGAATTCTTCGTGCGGTCATTTATGTCGCTTTTGGTGGATGAAATGGGGTTTCTGTCATAACAATCCTTAGAAAGTGACAGAACAATTTTGCATCTTCTGACTCTAGTTGTGGTGGTTTGTCCCTTGTCATTTTATTTAAAAAAATGATACTAATTTCCTTTCATATGGTTTTTTTCAGTTCAATGATTTCCTTAATACTATATTCTTCTCATCCCCAACTGTTGCATTGATTGTTGCTGTGTTCTTGGACAACACTCTTGATTACAAGGATAGCGCCAAAGATAGGGGAATGCCTTGGTGGGCCAAATTTAGAACATTTAATGCAGATAGCCGCAATGAAGAGTTCTACACCCTACCTTTCAACCTCAACCGGTTTTTCCCTCCATCTTAATTAAGAACGTTATATCATAAAAGAAAGATGTTAGAGGAAAATCATCATTTCCATATAAGGGTTAATATATTGTTGGTGTGAGAGTGAAGAAGGATGAGATAACCCTGTATCATATTGGTGAATTTTTTTATGAAGAAATGATCAGAAGTTTGACATAGTTCTTCTTCATCGCCTTATGTATATTTTTTCTTTAGAATAGAATATTGAATATTCAAGTGAAGAAGATTAAAAGGATAAATTATTTACTTTTAGAATTATCAAATGTCACAAACTGTCGAGATGAAGTACAATTTATCTTTTTACCAAAAAGAAAAGAAAAGAAGTAGAAGTACAATTTATCTTAAATAAAATATACATTCCAGCATTGTCCAGATTTTAAGTGTCATAAAAAAAAAAGCGTTGTCAGATCGTACAAGAGGAACAATAGATTTGATTAGAAAATAGAAAGTAATGTAGTTATTCAAAAATTGGTTTTTGATTTTTGTTATTTAAATAACATGCGTACATATGATATAACAGACATACAATGAACGTGACAATGATGGGCTTTGTTTTCTGCGGCTCTGGTTGACTTGTATGCTGTCTCTGATATAAGGAAGCAGCTTTACCTTTTGTCATGTAACATAACGTGTATGTCCTTCTGTACTTCTAACGACATTGGATAGGCAGAGTGAAAAAAAAAAAAAGGAGAAAAATTGGATCACGGGACGACAAGAAACAAATCATAGACCTAGCAAAGATATAATATATATATATATATATATATATATATATATATATATATATATGGATTAGGATCATTTTATACTGGTATAAGTTACACTTTCAATCTTGCTTGTTGATTCCATTTATATCTAACGGTTCAAATTTTTTAGTAATGTTAGCCATTGGATACAAGTGGATCAATAGTCAAGATTGAGAGTAAGACTTCTAACTCTTACATCAATGTAAAAATATCTTACCCTATATATATATGGCTTTAATAGCTCTCATGTCACTGCAGATGAGAAAAAGTGCAGCAACACTTATTTTCATCAGGATACAGGTCCGGATCCTGATGTGTTTTTTTTTTTTAGGCCAGGATACGGCCCCGTATCCTAGTGTTAATAATTTGCTGCAACTTTTCTCATCAGCAGCAAAAGGAGAAATGACGAACCCTATGTATATATATATATATATATATATATATATATATATATATATGGGGTAGGATATAAGTAGGATCAATGGCTAAGATTGCGAGTGTAATTTATATCGGTGTAAAATGATCTTGACCTTACATATATACATATATATATATATATATATATGGAAAAATGTTTTTCCACTGACAGTAGATTAAGTTATATTCAAACGAGGTGTTTTAGGATGGTGAATACATGAACATAGTAAGTTGAAAAAGATGACAGGAATAAAAAGATCAGTGGCTAATGAAATTCAATCTGAATAAGTGTCACATATTAAGAAAGTGTTCAGGTTTACTAAATGCAAGGGAGGAGTAGCTAATGGTGTTTGCACATGCACTCAGGGCACCTAGGATGTCTATAAATGCTTCGGCCATTACTCCTTATGCCAGCCTTTTGACCTTCAAGAATCATCTTCTTTATTCTGATTTCAAAACTGTTCCATCCTATGGTGCCATTCTCCATCAAAATTGCTGCTAGCCTTGTCTTGTTAGGCCGCAAGGTAGGAGCATGACCGCCACCATAGTAGGTTCTGAATCCAGATACTAATGATGAAAGTTGGCTACCAGAGTCAGTCATGGCAAATACATCTGCACTTGCACATGCTATGAAATCCAAAGCAGCCAGCTGCATTGACATCAACTATACATTGTTAGTAATTATAATTCAATCAGGTTCTAGTTTATTTTCATTGTCGTTCATTGGTTTAAGATTTGAATTTCATATTAACAATGCCAATGCAAACATTTTAGCTCATAGATTGTTCTACCAAAAATGTACACAACATTTAGTACTATGAAAACATTTTGTTGACATTAATAACAATACTAATAAATTTTCCCTCCTCATTATGAGCCAAGTGGAGCCTATCTTATTATTTTATAGTCCTTCTACAACAAAAGCTAGGAAGATATTGTCAAAAACATGAATGAACACTGAACACTGAAGTAAGGTCTGAATGAGAATTGGAAAAAAGAAAATGTTAGAATAGAAGGCATTATTGTATAAAGAATAGAGCTACTACTTAATTACCTGAGAAGAAAATTTCTTGAACGGTGCTAGTTCACTGGGTGTAAGCAGGTTTTCCTTTGTTATCACATTGGGGTAGAGTCTAGTGAAGGGATCCATTCTTGAATTTCCCCCATAAATATGAGAACCAGCCAAGTAAATGTAAGTTCCACGTTTGAAACCAAGACCCGCTAGAACAAGTGCTGCTTCTTCTGGTGTCAATGGACATCTTCCCAATTTTCTCAAATCCGTTGGAGAAATAGAGCTATAAGAATCAATAGTACAATGCAACAAAAATATTAAACAAATTAGAAGGATACTTAATCATTCAAAACTTTATGTTGAAAAGCATATTGTAGAAACATGCATACTTCGATTGCTTCAAGCGCTCAAGAAACAGAGGAAAATGGCTTTCTCTGTAGGCTTGAAGTTCCTTCATCTCATTTTTCCCACCTCCAAATTCACACAAGGAATAAGCCACCATATCTATTTCAAATCTTAAGTGCAAAGCAAGATATTTTGTTGAGCCCCTAGCAGCTTCATGGTTTTCCTTGTCATGGATGAAATTTCCCAGCAACTGAGTGTCTAACATGCTTAGTCGAGCACTATATTTTCTAATCCTTTTGATCAATAGTGAGCCAACTTGTTGAATTTTTGGCACGAATTTCAAAGCATGGAAATTGCATTTGCATCTTAACCTCTGCAATTATTTTCAAGCACATATAAATGTATCCTAAATGTAGGTGAGATACCTTATACCTTAAAGTATACTGAGCTACTATAATATTAATAAATGAAGAGTGAAGATCAGAAGCATGTAATGTAACACTTAATTCAAAACTAGGCAAACAAGGTAACTTTTTAACCTGAATATCAGAAGGCAGTGGATCAAAACCAAGGCGATTTCCATATCCCAGGAAATGAACAACTCTATTTCTCAAAAGAATAGGAAGCACAGTTTTAATATAATCAGCAGATGTTGCCTCCTTCGCAAGTTCTGTATCTGTAATCTAAAATTCAAGGTGTTTATTGACATTGTTATAACAATTTCTTTTCAACTACATCAAATGTAAGATAATGAACCTGGCTGCCAATTGCTTCCAGATCCAGAGATTTCATATGAGGCGGAAGTTCCTTCTCAATACTGATATCATCCTTGAGGATATACATGAAATACTCCTCTTGGTATATATCTCCAAACTGACTGCATTTTGAATCAGTTGTTGAGTCATTCAATTGAAATCACATACTTTTCAATGAAGGATGTAGCAACATGGGTTAGATAATAACAAGGAATAAATACAGAAAGAACAGAACACGTGTTAAAAATCAGTCAAAATGTGATAACACACTACAAATCGTCCTGCAACTTGATATTTTGATAATTCATTTAATCCATGAACTATTCAAATCAAATAAAGCAATTCCTAATTTATGATAATTAATTAAACAACATTCACATTCAGATCAACATAGTTATGATCGGAAAACTGTTTTTTTTTTTTCTCTCTCAATGTCAGTAGACAACTTCTGAAGATAGAAAAAAAAACATCTTTAAGATTATAACTATCCGTTGTTGACCATAAGAAAAAAGGGACCCTAAAAAGAATTATTAAAAAAAATAAAATATGAATGAAATTATTTTTTCAGTTTTTACTGTAGTACTAAATGTATTATACCTTGGATCCTTCCATACGTTACTGTAAAGAAATTTTGGAATAACTAGAGTTGCGTTGAGGAGAGATGCCACAGCAACAGCATTGCAAATCTGCAATCACTACCGTAGTCTAGTCACTTCCTTTATTGGAGATACCAAAAGCATGTCAAAAAGAAAGGACAAAAGATCGTATAGGATAGTATGTATAAGAATTAACTACATGCTTGATATATATTATCTAAAAGGCACAGTATTTGTTCTTTAAGATCCATGTCTTCCTTTCCTATTCCAGAACTGAAAGTCAATGAAGGAAAAACCTTACCTTGCGATTAGTGAGGTGCCCTCAATATGTGTACTTAGTCTCATTTATTTTATACAAAATTTAATGTCAAATGTTCAGGGCTATTGGTGATAGACATAAAAATTGTAGGTTTATTTGTATTTGTATTTTTCTAGTAATGTGCAAAGTTGGTATCTGAATATTGAAAATGATGTAAATCAACTGCCAATACTTACAGCAACTCGTTGTTGATTAAGACCACCATTTGCACTGACTAAGATGTAGCCATTACTTTTCACAGATTTCCCTGCTACATATTGTAAACTAATTTAAGAGTAGTGTACTAGGCAAAGAATTACTGATAATAAATTGCCTTTTAAACTTCATATTATTTCATATAATAGTATAAGAAATGAATACATATTGTAAATATTTTATACATGTTTTATAACACCAATCAATGCATAAAAAAGTTCATATACCCCGATTGGTTTGAACTTTTCTTTCTGCACAAGGTTCCCATGAAGATGCCTGCCGATATGGTTCCACCCATAAATTGGATGACTCTTGCTTGAACTCCTTCTATAATAACAAAAGCTCAGCAATCAGATTAGACAGAAATGAACTTACAAATATAGTACAGTATCTAACAGATGATCTAAAAACTTGCATCAATCTGCAAATTTGATCCAAACCTCTGCAAGAGCGCTGGAAGCTAAGTTTAGAAGCCGATCATACATATATACTGGCGATTGTTTCATGTTGATGTAGGAATCTCTACCCTTTTCATTAAAATATACGTGTTAGTTGTATTCAGCAAGTATCAACGCAAAATATCACATGAATTTTAGAAATATTAGGTGACTCAAATTCTACTCTACTTGAGATATGCACCCCTAGCTAAAGATAATCTATGTTTAAACATCCAGAATGTAGATAAATAATTTCCAGCTTCCACTAGCAAAAGAGAAAAGTGCCATGCTGAAAACACTGTTGGAAACTTTGAATCACATGAAGATAAAATTACTAATTTTAGAAGTAAGTTGTTCATATTTGACATCAAAGTAGGTCTAGATTTAATAGATATAGAAAACAAGCTTACGGAGAAAAGGACAGCAATCAGATAAAAACCCTGACATGAATATGGTTGATTGAATAAAAATATGAACAAATATATTTGTTCAAAAAGGGTGCTAATAAGCAAGAGATGATGTACTTGTATCTGAAACCGACTTGAATTATTTGAGGCTGTACTGGGTTGAAGATTTGCAAACTCAAAAGAGGAGATGATAAGAGAATCAAGAAGGAAAAGGCAACCCAACAATCCAAACATGAGGGCAATGGTCCTGATGTGCTTTTTTCCAACATAGAGCCCCTTACAAGAATTGTACTTCGAAGAATCACTTTTAAGCTCATGAAGCAATAAAGTTTTGGAATGCCAACGGTAATCAACCCCTGTCATCCTCTTCCAAGAAGGAGGATCACAGCTTGTTATTTTGTAGTCATTCATTCCTGAGATTAAACTGGCACCCTTAAACTCTGGACGAGGACTTTTGGGAGAACCTTGTTTCCCCGTTATACAATCATCAATCAAAGAAGCTCAAAGTAACTAGAACATAGAGTTTAACTCTCCATGCTGGCCTCATCTAATGGCCAATGAAGATTAGCTGAAAGATGGAAAATGACAACTAAAACAAGAAGAAGGAACTCCAGAAGCCTACAAAAGTAAGTGTTACTGGGGTCTTTCTGACTATTATGACTTCTAAAACCAAACCACCAATCCATTAGAATTCAAGTTTGGTGGCAATGAGGATTTAAACAAAAGAATAGAGCTTTGTTGTATGAATTCCAAGTGAAGCTAAGAAGTAGGTGATGTGGATATGTAACTAAGAAAGTGGATGAATGAGTGAAATCCAAGCGAAAGATTAAAACTCAACCATGCATTGGGAACTTACCTTATGGAACAAGAATCATCACATAATGGAACAACAACTTCCCACCAAACAGATTCAGGCAAGGCAACCCCAGCTTCCTGGGTGTCCAATTCCATATTTGAAAATCAAATGTGGCAACAGCAACAACAATTCAACAACTTTTCTTGTTTTTTTTTTATTTTTTTGGTTTCTATACTGCATTGTTTTTCTCGCAACATGTTTTCGTTTACTTTAGTTGTCTGATTTGGCGGGTCTTCACACAACCCCATGTTAGAAAACAGTTACACACGTCCTAATTTATTTAGGTTTTATAAGAGTTACGTTGTAGGGAAAATGATCGTGTAATGTTATAGAGATTTGTTTTGCGTACCGTAATTTTTTTTTTTTTCAAAAAGTGTAGATCCGATAAAATATTGTGTGTGTAGAAAAATTTGTTGTGTTATATTAAATGACAAATGCAAATCCCAATTTATTTATGTGAAAAATGTGTATCCAGGTATAAAGTTGTATCTAAACAAGAGTTCAGATAAGGGAGAGAGAAAGTGAGATTTTTTTTTTTTCTCTTTCATCCATGATTTATTTCTTTGGATACACACTTATTCCTTTATTTATTAGAATTAAACCGTTTTAGCACTAAGTTTGTTCATAACCAAATGTAATTTAAAATATTATTTTATCAAATTTGAAAAGTAAAATATTATATTTACAAAAAATTTGATTACAAACTACAATATGTATTCCGAGAAATACAAATACTTAAATGCGTATTTTTTGAAATATATAATATAATTTGTAAATAAAAATTTTATAAATATAACTCTCTTTTGAAAATACATATAATCACTTCTTTTTTATCTTGTTTTATCTTTGTCACTTATTATTTCAACTTGGCAGACCCGTAATTATTTTTTCTTAATTTTTATTTCAGATTAATAAGAATAGTTTGAATAATATAATGTTTGATTGCATGTATTAAACTATAATCTTCAAGAAAATTGTTTTGCAACATTTTATTTTATTTTTTATTTTAAAAGGGCAAAAGCCCGAAACTGTGTTGTACTTTACTTAAAAAAATAAAATAAAATAAGGGTTTCAATTTTTTCATGGAATAGAAGAAAATTTTATCATATTATAGACACATTTTATATGTGATCCATATCTATTAAAAAAAGAAAAATAACATATTATATAAAAATTGAAGAATCACTGATAAAAAAAATAATTTTCTTATAACATGAAAAAATATTTTTACAATAAATAAAGAGTTTGCTTTTTCTGTAGTTACTGCAGATAACTTATCTGCAGTAAGCCCAATACGATGTCATTTTCGGGCAGAAATCATGATATTTTTGTAATTTTAATTTATTTTAGGGTTATTATAGTCTTTATAATTATAATTTGTTAATCTTTTAATCTCAAAATAACTTTATTTTGAGAGTTAATACAGATAACTTATCTGCATTAACTGTAGAAATATTTTTCTTATAAATAAAAGCTTCTTAAATTTTATTAAAGGTTAAATGATATACAAGTGGACGGCGTGTTGGTGTTTTCTCCAGCGAGGTCAAAGTTTCCATCAACTTATGTTGTTGTACCAAAAAAAAATTGTTTCCTTCAAATGGAATTTACTCACATTATTGAGAATTTTTAAATTGGAACAGCAATAGTATTCGTAAGAGAATTAAATATTTCTCGGTTATTAATTTTATCATAAATAATTAATAAATTTTAAATAATATAAATTAATAATAAATATTTAATGACTTATCTTAAAAATTGATATCTTAAAAAGAGAAAAATAATAATTTCACAAATAATATTCTTAAAAGTCATATGATTGATGACATTTAGTTTATTGTATTTATTAGCGCAAATAATTAAAAATGACCAAAACCGTTTGCGGTTTAGGATGATTTGGACTTAATTAATTTTAAATTCCAAATAAACCATTTTGGTTGCATTAGTTGATTTCTTTTACTTTTTACCTTTTTTCGGAGAAAAAAAGTACACATATCCTTATTATAGAGTTTGAGTAGTTTAAACTTTAAAGCCACTATGATTATCTTAGTGATAAAGGATGTGATTAGTTATGTAATAAATTGTGTGTTTAATTTCTCAATGTATCCCCACAAAAAAAAGTTTGAGTAATTTATAAGAAATTTATATAAATTTAAAATTTTACTCTATCATTGTTATTTATGTATAATATAGACACACGCACCTCGAAACATATTTATATTGACTAAGTAAATAACTTTATTAAACCTTCACTTTTGATACAATTTAATCAAAATTTCGTAAGACTTAAATTTAGTGGTTAATCTAATAATCGATAATAATATTAATTACTTTGACAAAAATATACAAAACTAGTCTAATTATATAGTATTTTCCATAATAATTGATTTTAGATGTTGTGGATATGATATCCAACTCGATCCCATCACTTATTCGAACGATAATGACAGAGAAACTTATATTTGATGCCTTTCAGAATGTGACATATTTATTAATATTTAAAAGTATCTGAAAGATGAATTATTGAACTTTTGATTTAACTTTTCTTGAACTAATAAAAAAATATGGGGCCAAAGACCAAAAAACTTCGCTTGAGCTATTGGTATTCAAGACATAATTGATTTTATTATTTGATTCGTGACTGCTTGGCCCAATTAGAATATTAGAAAAGTTTATTGGCCGTGATTTTTTATTTTATTTTCTTACAAGAATGACAATAAAATTTAAATTTATAACCTATTGTAAATTATTTAAATCTTATATTACTAGTTGAACCTTAGTAACATTTTGGTGTCATTAGGTAAGTCTATCTCTTCCTCGCAATTGTTGAACAAATTAATCAAACAGGTTGGGGGAGAACCGAGAACATGTAAATACTAAATAAATGGTCCAAGATTTTTAAATGATATTTAAAGGTGAAATAATGACATTTATGTTATCAAAAAAAATAAAAAAAAATAATGACATTTAACGTAGTGATAGGGTGTGGGTAGTCAATTGAGTGCCAAATACAGGAAGAAGTTATAGAAGCATTAAATGATACACAGTTCACATATACAAATTTTCCTATTGGTTTGAAAGGGATAAGTGTTTAAGCCTTGACAAGAAGCATTAATGTATATCATTTCAATCAGATATATAATCTCTTATCTTAATGAAAATTTTAATATATTCATTTGAGCTGTTCATATTAAATTAATAGGAAACAAGAAAAATATCTTTTGCAATGAACAGTTTAAGAAATTATCTTAAAACACACCAAAAGCTGAAGCGAAAGTGAGAGAGAAATAGAGAATGCAGAGAGACGGACCCGGTAACCAATGATACCAGAAAATAAAATAAAAATAAAAAATGTGGCAACCCTTAATCTTCATATGAAGTAATTTTGTAGTAGTAACTATTAATTTAAGCTTTGTTTGGGAGTTGATTTTAAGAGGGAAAAAAAAAAAGAAAATTTTAGTAAGTTCTTCCTTTATTTGTGAGTTTAAAAAAATGGAAGAAGAGAATTGGAGATTTTTGCAAAATCCTCCAAAAACCCCCCTCTCATCCTTAAAATTAAAGTTCCCTCCAAATCTCCCAATTTGGGGGATTTGAGGGAAAAATATTGAAATTTACTTATTTACCCTTAGCATTAAAATATGAAACATACATAAATATGAATCGTTTTTAAATATGAAACTATTAAAAAAGTCTCAAATATCGACATAATTTATCAACGAAAAAAATTTCGCAGAAAATAATAACGAAATATTTGACAAAAATCATATTACGTCGAAAAAAGAGACGAAAAAAATTCTCGTCGAAACTAGAGACGGAATAAGATTTTGTCATAATCACTACATAAATTTTTGAAGGAAAAAAATTCAGTCAAAATTCTTGTTAGAATCTAAATTCAGTCGAAATTTTCAACAAAAATATTTCCGTCAAACTTTTCAGCGAAAAATAATTCTGTTAAAAATTATGACACAATTTTTTTTTGTTAAAATTCTTTACGGAATCTAAATTCCCTCGAATCATTCCCCTCAAATTTTTTGACAAAAAACATATCTGTCGAAATTTTTGACGAAAAATATTTTCATCAAAATTTTGAACAGAACACATTTCAATCAAAAAATTGTGACGAAAAATATTTCGGTAAAAAGAAATTGACAGAAATTTTTTTTGTCAAAATCCTTTACGAAATCTAAATTCCATCAAATTTTTTGATAGAACATATTTACATAAAAAAATTTCGACAAAAAAATTCCACCAAAATTTCAACATAACACATTTCTATCAAAAAGCATTTATGTAAAAAAATTTGACAGAAAAAATATTTCGTCAAAATTCTTTACGGAATCTAAATTGCGTCAAAAGTTTCGACAGAAACATTTTCTTCAAAATTTTGTCAAAATTTTCGTCGGAACTCATTTCCATCGAAAATTCTGGACAGAAAATATTTCGTCAAATTTTTTGACGGAAGTATTTTTTTGGTCAAAACTTTTGACGGAAATTAAATTCCATTATAAATTTTGATAGAAAATTTATTTTTGTAAAAAATTTCGACGGATAAAAAATTTTGTCGCCTTTCAACGGAAAGTATTTCGACGGGAAAATACTTTTTCGATAGAATTTTGTCCGTTTCCAACGAAGAAATTTCATTGAAAATATGATATTTTAGTAATGTGAAAAGTACATAAATAATTTTATTAGAAATTTTAAATTTATTTTTATTTTTAAATTATAATAATTATATTAATTTTAAAAAAAGTTAAAATGGTAAAAATATCTCCTTTTCCCTCCATTTTTCTCCCTTACCATTTTTCAACTCCCAAACTAGGAAAGGGAATACCCTCCAATTTCGTTTCTTCCCTTCCCTCCTCCTTAGATCCCTTTCCTTTCCTTCCAAACTCTCAAACAAAGTCTTAGAGTATGTTAGAATACTATTTTTCATAATAATTTAAAAAAAATTAAACTATTTTTTAATTTTTAAAATCAAAATTAGAATATATATTTTAAGGGTTTGTTTTTTGGGACAGGATATACTTATTACAAAAAATGTTTACCATCTTTTCAACCAATCTAATTACCGTTAATTTCTGTCAATGTAACGGTTATAATTTATTGAAAATTAATAAGTACAACCCAATAATTTTCAATAAAATATAACCGTTACATTGACGGAAATCAACGGAGATTAAGTTGGTTGTAAGGGTAGTAAACATTTTTGATAGTAAGTATATCCTTCCCCTTGTTTCTTATGTAATGAATGTAGATAAATTATCTACATTGACCTTAATACGACGTCTTTTTAAGACGAAAATCAATATATTGTTGTGATTTTAATTTATTGTAAGACTATAATAGTATTTATAATTATAATTTTTTAATCTTTCAATCCAAAACAACGTCGTTTTGAGAGTGAGTGTAAATAACTTATCTATGTAGAAATATTTTTTCCCATATTTTAATTATTTTTATTTTATGTTTTAACTTTTGATTTTTTTTTAAAAAATATTGAAAATATTTATTTTATTAACTATTCTATAAAATAATTTTAAAAAAAATAAAAAATAAAACACAAACGCGTAATTTTGAGGGAACACCGCTGCATGATGTCATCACATTACAATCACTAGTCACTACAATGAAACGTGGCGTAAGCTTTGATATCATTCACCACAAGCTAAGGAGAACCCACTCACGAAAACATTCTTGAAAAGAAATAGGAGCTCGTTTGGATGAAATTTTCTTTCTCCAAAAACTGTTTTTTTTTAAAAAAAAAACACTTCTCATTTTTAGTTGGTTTGGTTCTCATTTTTAGTTCGTTTGGATGTCTGCTTTTAAAAAAAGTAAAAGTCATAAAAAAAGCTAAAAATTTACTTTTTTCAGAAGCTAAAAATTTTAACTTCTCAAAAAAATAGAAGTCAAAAATTAAATATTTTTTCAAAAACTAAATATTTTTATAAAAATATAAATAGTTTTAATTTTTATAAAAAATACTTTTAAAATAAGGATGAGATAAAAATTACTTTTATTAAAAATGAAATGAAACGGGCTCTAGTTCCAAGTTATACATACCTTCACCAAGTGTACCATATCCTTTATGCGGTATTATAATGGGTTATAAACATAAAAGTCTACATTATGATATAAATTATGTCCTTTGAATCAATTTGAAACTCTTTTAGAGTTTTATTTTTTCTTTTTTAATTACAACATAAAAGTTAGGAGTTTTGGTTAAGAAAGCTAATCAGTTTGATTTGGTTCAAATTATTCTCTATGCTCTTCAACAATTTAGTGAATTCTTTTTTCTTTTTATTAAAGCCATAAATGACTTGAATGAAAGAAAATATTTAAATAGGCTGTTGAAGTGCCCCCATTAATGTTAGCTCCTAGGCTTAAATAGATTATTCAAGTGAATATTATTAATTTTAAACATAAAGTCTTAAATGTGCTTCTCCTATATTAAATTGGTCATTAAAAATCAAGCCCCCCTTGCACAATTTAAGCAGAAAATCAAGTTGGTTCAACTAAATTAACCAACTTAGTCTTAAAATTAATGTTATTAAACCCGGACCGGTGATCGACCCGGTCGGGGCACCGGGTCAGTGGGTTACTGGTTCAACCGCATGAACTAGATATATATATATATATATAAAAATTTATATTTTATACTCAATTATATAATAAATATTTTAAATGGTGCAAGTAGTTTAGTGGTAAAGACTATAATTTATATCTTCATAACAAGGGTTCGATTCCCACTAAATGCTATTTTGAAATAATTCTAATAAATGATAATATATATTTATATATATATATTTATATATATATATTAAATGGTGCATATTAACTAACAAATAAACTCAGCTTAGTGCTAAGTTGTTGTTGGACATTCTCATAGGACTTGAGTTCGAATCCCAGCGGCTGCAACTTTGAAAATATTTTTTCAAAAATCGGGTTGAGTTGTAAAACCAGTCCACCGAGTAACCGGTTGAACTGCGGTTCTTGACCGGTTCAACGAGTCGATACCGAGTCGATTGCTTGTCCAGTCCATTAGAAGAATTGGACCGGTTGATGGGCGGGGTGTGTGCATAATTTGAATTAATTAAAAAAAAAAATGTATGTGAATGTAAATTGTTATAAAAAAAAAAAAAAACTAACAGTTGAATCATAATATTATTTAATGACTTGCATATCTAAATAAGAGTATGTGAAAAATGTAAATATGTAAATTTGTCAAAGTGCCGTTATTTTAATGCATTTATTGCATCAAATGAATTGATACTTTTAACATAGTTAAGGGTTAGGTATTGTGTTCATCTTTGTTTTCTTTTTAACTTTTAGATTAATTATAATAAATCACATGTTATATTTTAACTTTAGAGATGTGATATGTGTAGATTAATACTAAAAGTAAATCATGTTGTCCATACTCAAACAATAATAAGCAAATGTACAAAGAATATTATTTTAATTTGTTAACAAGTACATCTATTAATTCCAAATTGTTAAATTAATGGAAGTTATGAACCAAACCATTCCTACCTAGGTTAGTTTGGTTTGATTTCATTGTAACATTAACTATGTTAATTAATTTAAAGGTTAGGTTAGTGATTAAAGAAGCGCATTTTTTATCTTAATTTCTTGGGTTTAATCCATAGCCAAGCATCTAAACACAAATTTTGCTAAATGTACTACCCAAAGCAGGGGCATGTTATTAAAATCGCTAGGGACATTAAGTGTATATTTAAATCAGTTTATTTTTAAAATATTTTTTAATAAATTTTTTGAAAAATAATTTTTTCTTTTAAAAACAAACCACCTAATGATTTTCATAAAAGATTAATGTTTTTTAGGAGAAAATTTTATTTTCTATATATATATATATATATATAAAAGTACATGGAATTCATATAAATTCATGTAAAAAGAAGAGAAAAATAATAAACTTTATATATTTTTATATAAAAAATAAAATTATCTCCTACATTAATCCCTTGAGAAAAAGTTAAAAAGCATGAAACTTAAATATAATGACTTTTTTTTTATTTTCATTTACATTTTTATTCTCATCTCAATTACGCACACCTAATGATTATGATTAACAGTGAGGTCTACCTAATCTGCAAAGAGAGTCAAGAAAAATGGGAAAAGTCCAAAATAAAAAAAAATAAGAAAAGAAAGAGAGAAAGAAAAGGAAGACAGAAAAGAAAGGAGGGAGGAAAAGGAGTGCTAGAATCACATGGACTTGTCTTTCTCTTGCTGGGTCCTCCATTTCCTTCTCTTCGTTTAGACCTTCTCCTTCATCTTTCTCATCTTCTTCTTCCCCCCTTAGATTCCTCCTCTTTTCTTTCCCCTTCACCATGGCTGAGGATAAGGTACTTTCCCGGGAAGAAATTTCCTCTCTCTTTTTTTTTTTGTATTTTTTTTAATTTTGTTGATATGCTGATTGTTTGATTGGCGAGAAAGCTGAGCGACCCATGAATGGGATAGCTGAAAAATTCTTGTAATTTTGGTTGTCTTTAGAAGATGAATCTGAAAATTTTAATTTCTCTCTCTCTCTCTCTCTCTATCTCTCTTGATTTCCTTTTGTGAGCTGACAAAGGGAACATTAGGGTTTGTTATTGGGGAAGTTCAATTTCCTTGCTAAAAATATGGTCTTTGATCTTAACACAGAAGACCCATTTAGCTCATTTTCGTGTTGATCTATGGTATTCTGTGAAGTTTCTTTTTCTTTTTTTGTTTTTCTTTTTCTTTTTTTCTGAAGTGAAATTCTGAACTGTGTTTTTGGCCGTCTTGAAGATTTGTTTGTTGCTGATACTTATAATCAGATGGTGGTTCTTTTATTGATGTTGGACTCTCAACGATTCGGTTTTTTATTTATCAACTTATGATCATTTGCTAGTTATTCACCACATAGCACATATTTCCTGCTTTATGTGTAACCCGTAATTTCGATTTCTGATTCTGATCAGAATATTTTTATTCAGTTTATTCTTTTGTGCTGCTAGCTGTTGTATTGTTTTCGTTGTTCTATCTTGTTGATTATCATAGTCTCTACTTAGTGTTTTTGATATGTCTGCCATTTGGTTAATTGTATTCTTCGAACTTTTGGCTTCCTTCAAAAACTAAACTTTTTAAAAATATTTTATGAAAAATCTCGAAATTCTAATATTCCTTATGCCTTGTCATAATTTTAACAGGAGATGTCTACCTCTGTAGTCAATGGGAATGATTCCCTCACAGGTCACATCATATCTACAACGATTGGTGGCAAAAATGGGGAGCCCAAACAGGTATTATCTTTGTAAATTTCGTTCTGCCCATAGTATTACACTTGTTTTGATTTATTTGCTGACTTGTTAAAAAAGCCATATGACAACTATCCTGGGTTGTAAGTTTAATGTCTTGTACACGATGATTCTTGTAGACTATTAGTTACATGGCAGAACGGGTTGTAGGAAATGGATCATTTGGAATTGTTTTCCAGGTATGCTTATACCAATTTCATACTATTGCTGTCTGCACCTATTTTGCCACATGCTGATAATTTTTTCTCTTAGGCAAAATGCTTGGAAACTGGGGAGGCAGTGGCCATTAAGAAGGTTTTACAAGACCGACGATATAAGAATCGTGAACTACAGTTAATGCGTGTGATGGATCATCCAAATGTGATCTCTCTGAAGCATTGTTTCTTTTCCACTACAAGTACAGATGAACTTTTTCTTAATTTGGTGATGGACTATGTTCCAGAGTCCATGTATAGGGTCTTAAAGCACTATAATACTGCTAATCAAAGAATGCCAATCATCTATGTAAAACTTTATATGTACCAGGTATTTCTCAGACTTTCTGGTGATTCAAAAACTTCTCTGACATAATTTCTCACTGACTGATAAAAGTTTGTGTGGGGTGTGCAGATTTTCAGGGGATTGGCTTATATCCACACCGTTCCTGGAGTTTGCCACAGAGATTTGAAGCCTCAAAATATACTGGTTTGTTTTATATTCTTGCTAATATACATTTTAAGTCAGAATTCTTTCTTAAAACCAGTAAATATATCTGGCTTTGATTTCGTTCTGTGTATCCTCCAGGTTGATCCTCTTACACACCAAGTTAAGCTCTGTGATTTTGGAAGTGCAAAAGTGCTAGTATGTTCACATCCTCATTTTACTTTAATATGTGTAGTTTGCTATGCTTGCTCCTTCATTTACGTGCACCATTATCTTTTTTATATTGACTAAATAATAAGTTATCCTAGAATGTCAACCAATAACCTATCAATTGCCATGAAGTTTTGACAGTGTACATGAAGATGGTCTAATCATTACATTATTTTGATAGCAGTCTCTTATGCTGGTGTCTTGCTCTGCTCAACAGCAAGCTGTAGAGCTCTGTGGTTGTTTTGCTTTTGTTTTTGTTTTTCAAGAGTTCTTTTGTAATATATTGAATATTTTGATATGGTTTTGACCTTTTGTGAAACCCAGCATATTTTGGTTTTTTTTGATGTTTTTGTCATGCTCTGTATGCATTCAACTTATATTACAATATCCAGGATATTAAATTGATTTCTCTCTGTTTGTTTCCGAGGGAATGTTTGTTGTACTAACCTTGGATTTTGTCTGATCAGGTCAAAGGTGAAGCTAATATATCATACATATGTTCACGTTTCTATCGAGCTCCAGAACTTATATTTGGTGCCACAGAGTATACTACTTCAATTGATATTTGGTCAGCTGGCTGTGTCCTTGCTGAATTGCTTTTGGGCCAGGTTTGTGTTATTGTTTTGCTCTCATTATTATTATTATTATTGTTATTATTATTATATAAATCTACTGCAAAATGGTGTAAATGTTGTTTTAATTATCTGCCACTTGTCTTCTGAAACAATTTGAACTTTTGCAGCCATTATTCCCCGGCGAAAATGCAGTGGACCAGCTTGTACATATTATAAAGGTGCAATTGGTGTCAGCATGTATTAGGTGTTTCTAAATCATGCCATCTTTGTGATGATAAGTCAGCTGTATTAAATTCTGTATTTCAGGTGCTTGGCACACCCACTCGAGAGGAAGTACGCTGTATGAATCCCAATTATAATGACTTTAGGTTTCCACAGATAAAAGCACACCCATGGCACAAGGTCTGCATTTTTATCTCCTTTCTTGCAGTTGATTTTTCAGTTAATCAAAATTTGAGTAGCTTGAAAATATTCCTGGACATTCTAACACTTAAAAATTGTATGTAGATATTCCATAAAAAGATGCCTCCAGAAGCTATTGATCTTGCTTCCCGGCTTTTGCAATACTCCCCAAGTCTTCGGTGCACTGCGGTGGGTGTGGTTGGCTGCTTTTTTTTTTTCTCTAAATATTTATTCAATTTCATTTAGTATTGCTCTATGTACATCAGCCTTTATTTCTTCTGGATTTGATCAATCAATGATGTTCTTTAGGGAAAAAACTACCATAGCAATTTGAGAAGAATATATATTTGTTATGCAGCTTGAGGCATGTGCACATCCTTTCTTTGATGAACTTCGAGAACCCAATGCTCGCTTGCCAAATGGTCGTCCATTTCCCCCTCTGTTCAACTTCAAACAGGAAGTAAGTCCTAGAAGTAAATTATTTGTACAGACAGTTTCAAGACTAAGAATAAAATTGACACTAACCATTTTGCAAATAGTTGTGAAAAGTCTATAGAAGCCTGAAAAAGAGTCCACCATACATTGACAAATCCATTTTCTAAGCTTTAGATCTGGTAGTCTGATTTTATCTCTTCCATGGAGCAAGTAATTCTATCTCTGGACCTGTGTGTGTATACACAAGATTCACTTGGGTTTTTAAGCAGTTACTGTCTGTTTTTCCGTGTTTGTCTATTTCCTAGAGTTATATGCATATATTTTTCACCATCAAAGAAATAGTAGGGTACGCAAAGCAATGCATTGAAATATATATACGCACTATGTTATCATTTTGTGATCCTGGTCAACGTCCTAGTTTAACAAAAATGAAGGACTAGTATATATTGTAACTTTCCCTGTTTCCAGTTATCCGGAGCGTCTGCAGAGCTTGTTAATAAGTTGATACCTGATCATGCGAAGCGGCAAATAGGGCTACAATTTGCTCATCTGGCAGGATCCTGATGACAAGCATAGGGCATAGTGTATACTAATTGATAAGCTATACAAAAGTGGCACCGTTATTTTTGTCTAAATTATCATGTTGTGTGGCCTGGCCAGAGTGTAATTTCATGATGAACCTGGACTGAGACTTGGAATGCTGGATGGCTGCACTTGATCCATCAGTATATGTATGTATACCTTTTGATTCTCTGTTGATTCTGGTGGATCTTTATTTCCCCAAGCAAGTAATAGCCTTTCCCTTCCATCATATGTTTATTGTAAACGTCTTCATGTTATATAGTATTTATATAGTTGGCCTGAATTGGTCAGTGAAGGGAAAAACTAAACCCTTAGCTGGAAAGAGGGTCCAGACAGACACGATGGGTCTTTTGAGTTTTGATGGTCTGCTATGTCGGTTGTTGGGTTTGGTTTTCTCACGTCCCCATGTTAATATGTGCCTCTTTTGCAATGTTGCAGACCACTTTCTTTCCTTGTGATAAATGTAATCTGTATCTGTTTCTCTTCAATGCTGCTTTCTAGTATTCCACCTTTCATTTTATTTGCTAAATTCTTGAATTTTAGCACTTCTAATACTAACAATGCTCGTTACATAATTTTTACTTTGATATTACATTTTGTTTAAAAAACAAAACAAAAAAATTGCAAGAGACTTCAGCCGAACTAGGTTAATTCACCGTAAGGTAATGAATAAAGTTAACTAGGTTAATTCATATGGTTTTATTCAATATTTATTTTTATTAAACTTATATAAAACTACTTACAAACAGGAGTTTTTGCTAAGTGGTAAGGATTCTGTCATTCTATACATATGTTATTTGTATTTTTCATTCTTTAAATATAAATGTAAAGAAAATATCAAAGCTATCCTAACCCGAAGATTGAGCCCCAAGCGTATTTAGGGCGAGGGATCTTTCTTAAAACAAATAACCTTATGTTTAGTAATCATTTAAATGAAAATTTAGTTTTTATATGACTGACTTTGGGTGAAAACCAATTCATTACAAATCTAACGAGATCTTGTTTAAAATTAACCAGGTTATATCCCCAACATCTCCAAATAAAATTACTATCCTTATTATTATAATTACACGAAATTATACATATATAATTTTAAAATATCATATTAAGTTCACATTGAAGCTTCTGTCTAGGGGTGTAAATGGGCCAGGCTGGCCCAGCCCAGCTTACGGCTCGGCCTACATTGAGCCCAGCCTTTCAGAAAAGTAGAGTAGGCTTAGGCTTATAAAAAAGCTTTTTTAATAAATAGGCCATAGGCCAATTTTGTCAAGCCCGGTCTACAGCCTTGTAGGCTGGCCTATTTAATTTATTAAAATAAAATATATATATTATTATTATTTTATGTGGCAAAGACACAAAGTACCAAATACCAAAATCTCTTACTTTTTGTGCTATTTTATTTTGTGAAAGAAAAACTTGTATAATGTCTCCATTTGCAGCTTAATACCATGGAACAATGGGTACCTTGCTGTATTATGATGTTACTGATGAAGATCTTTCAATAATAATCTTCTTTCCCTTGTCTTGATGGTGGTTTAAAGATTTTTAGATGAATGACATTCTCTTGTAGACTTTATTTCAGCATCCAGTAATTGTATTTTTCTTATTTTTCCCATTTCTTCGACTCTATTCCTCTATGATATACATTCTAGAGCTGAGGTATTATGTTGACTCTTTCTTGTTTGTCATTTTTTTCTTATGAGAAGTACTAGTGTATGCATGAATGGAACTTTCTTTGCTCTATACATTTATTTTTTTTGTTTAGTATATATAGTGGGAGGCCTACAAGGCCTGTAGGCCATGTCAGGCTTTCTTATTTTTGAAAATGGGCCGGGCTTGACCTACAAATAAAGCCTTTAATAGGCCAATAGGGCAGATAGGCTGACTTTTTTTTTTGACGTAGGCTTGGGCCAGAATGGCCAAAGCCCAGCCCAGCCCAGCCCAGCCCAGCCCAACCCATTTGCGCCAAGAACAATTACAAGTGAAAGGAAATTATGAGGTCATTTCCATGTTTTAATTTGCAACTAACGAGCTCATACATAAATCTGTTGTGCCATTTTTCAGTGTTTATCTCATATAAATCGAACTACATGTGATCTATGATATGAATGAAAGGTTTAATATTTGTGATGTTGGAGACAAAATTACCTGCTATTATACACATTAAAATGTGTGAGTCCATGTGCAAAGAAGAGAAAAAAAGAAAAAATATAGGCTCTACATATTTTTATGTAAATGTATATGATAATTTTATTTCGTACAACAAGAGAAATATTAAACCTATAAATAAAAGGATTAATGTTTCTCATATTGTAGGTGATAAATTTTTCACCTGTACATATAAAAGTATATAGAGTTTATTTATTCTCTTTCTCTCTCTTTTTCTCAAGTGGCCCCATATAGTCCCATATACTTTTACTATGTTAAGAATAAAATTGTTTGATTGTGTTATAACTGTTTTGTAGAATAGTTGTGGAAACATGTATTTTTTGTGTTCTTTTTATTTTAAAAGTTAAAAATTAAAACATAAAACAAAAACAACTATATATTCTCTAAATTTGATTCTAAAAAGAAAAAAATATTTTCAATTTTTAAAATTATTTTTACAAAATAAGCTTTATCAAACAAACTTTTTTTCTTTTTTGTTCTGAAAATAAAAAATCTATTTTAAAAATGATATTCAAACAAGGCTTAAAGAAACATTAAACCCATAAACTAACTCTCAACATTCTTGAATCTTGATTATACCTTTTCTTTTGTATTTATTTATCGAAAAATAATTTATCCTTTTAAAGAAGGTAACTTATGTCTTTTTTTTTGGTAATCAACTTATGTCTTTTTAGTAATTTATAATTATGTAATAAGGGTAATATATTATTATAATATTAAAGTTATATTTTATTCTCTCTTTTTTGACACTATTTTCTGAAATAAAAAATAATGTTTTTTTAATATTATAATTATATTATACCTTAATACATAATTTTAAATTACTACAAGATTAAAAAATTTAATGGAATAGCATTATGCAAACAAATTAAAAAAATTTAGGGGTAATATTGGCATCCCATAGTCAAACATAGCAGCAAACAATAAAATTTCGCGCCTAGAGCGACTACTACCATACGTACACTCACACCTCCCTTAATCATCAACCTCGGAAAACGCAAACATCAACTTACATCTGCACCGTGCACTTGAGATCACGACCTTAAGCAAAATATCCAACGGTTATAACGAACACTACACAACGGTGGCAGAACATGAAAATCACGTGACTGTTCACACAGAGTGAAAGCCATGAGGTTAAAAATAAAAACTGTTGTTAAACCAGAGACCATGCGACTGCGACAACCACTGTCATGTTCCCAAATCTCGAGTTGTCTTCCTGGTCTTAAGATCTTCATTTCATTTCAATTTTCTTTTTTGTCTTTTTGTTTTTTTTGTTTTTTTAATTTCTTCATTTCGTTTCTCTCGAGGCAGCCAGCTCGAGAGAGATTTTCCAAAAGGGGTTGCTTGCTTTTATGCTTTTTCCAAAAGCTCAGAACTGAAGATTCTAGTGAAAAAGTTCCAAACTTTGTAGGTTCCCATTACTTAAATCGGTTTCGTTTTTCCATGGAAGATGTCAAAGTGGTTGCTTGGCTCGTTTCCTTCTTTATGTGGAATTGGGTGCCGATGGTTGTTGAGGGCACTGACACCCTTCTCTCTCCAAAGGGTGTCAACTATGAAGGTTTGTCATTTCCCCCATTTCTCCTTTTTTCCCCCCGCATCTTTCTTGTTTTATTCTAGAGTGTTTGGTTCGGGGAGAGATTTTTTTTTGTAACTTGGTTCACACATTTGGTGTTTTTAGTGGCTGCTTTGATATCCATGAAGAGTAAGATGAATGATGACTTGCATGTCATGGATGGTTGGGATATTAATTCGGTTGACCCTTGTACTTGGAACATGGTCGGTTGCTCTGCCGAGGGTAATGTGATTTCCCTGTAAGTCTTTTTCTGATTTCTATTGCTAAAGGTTGCTTGCTTTTTTGGCTGTGAGGAATGTAACAGATTTTACATTTTTGAGTAGTGTTTTCTCTGATACCATCAGTTCTGATATTCGATGGCTTATTAATGGTATTTCCTTTTCAAACTATATGCATATTGATGTATGTTATTGGTGGTAATTTGCTGATGTTGGCAGGGAAATGGCCAGTTCGGGTTTATCTGGAACGATTTCCTCAGGAATTGGAAATTTGAGCCACCTTCAAACATTGTGAGTGCCTTTCTTCTTCACCAGTTGCAACTGGAATGTTGCCTATACTTATTTTGTTCAAATGTGCAATTGTGTTGTTGTGTTGACGTAGCTGATGATGATATTGATATATACTTTGAAATATGGTTTGGAGAATGTGGTATTTGATTGCCCCATTGATCACTTTCAGCCAACCGTTAACCTTTACCAACACTTTATTTTAATCTCAAAGGAGCTTTTTTTTTTTTTTTCAAATTCATGTTTTAAAATCATCAAATGATAGTAATGTTAGTCTGAAAAATGTTATCATTGTTTGGGATTATTTGCTACAATGGTGCATTTTTAGGCCGACGTGCGACTGAGCTCGTAGGTTGGCAGCTTGTAGCCCACATTGTTTAGTCTGTCTCACTGTAATTGTGTTGTAGAGTTCATTTGCATTAGCTATCATATAAAGCAAGGAGAAAATAATAATAATCACAACATAAAATATACCTTCATTTATATTAACCATTATCACTGGGTTTTTCCATTGTATTATCTTAGGTTATTGCAGAACAATCAGTTATCTGGTCCCATCCCGGCTGAGATTGGGAAGCTGTTGGAACTTCAGACCCTTGACCTTTCTGGTAACCAGCTTATTGGGGAAATTCCTAGTTCTTTGGGCTTTTTGACTCAACTTAGTTACTTGTGAGTGTGGCTTGACAAATAGATTCAACAATGATGATATTTTTGTTATTTATTTGGTTTATTCATTAGCCTTTCTCTAGGTATTTACTTCCTAATATATTCATGCCAAGTATTTCAGGCGGCTCAACAAAAATAAACTATCTGGACATATCCCTCAACTTGTTGCTAATCTCACAGGCCTTTCATTCTTGTATGTGCTCTATCACAGTTTTATTCTATTTTTGCCTCTTCAATCTGTAAAAGTTAGTGTTATAACTGTACCATGTGTTGTAGGGACTTGTCATTCAATAATCTCAGTGGTCCCACTCCAAAAATTTTAGCAAAAGGTTATAGGTGAGTTTTTAAATGATATAAGATTTTGCCCTAATGTTTACAAGATGAATTCTAACCCTAAGGTTATACTTATAGGGACTTGTACTAGTTGTATGTTCAGTGGTTTCTTACAGCCTTACACAAATTTACTGCAATGATTATTGAATCCCTTTCAAGGATTAGTTAATCACAATTTCTTGTGGGTGAAGGGGAATCTTTGCTCAATTGATTAATAACCCGTGACAATAGCAATGGTAATTTGTACTCTTTAAGCCTAATACAAGATGTACTAAGTTTTGGATTCTGAAAATGATGTTTTATACTTAAATTTTGAGTGGAAACTAGTATAGTTCTTAATCTTAGAAGTGCAAGTACTGAAACCATTTTTAGGGAACCTGTAGATAGATAGACTAGAGCCCATTTCTAGGAAACCCACAAATCTGCAGATGGTGTTAACTGTTTACTAAAACTAAATCTATCAGTTTCAAGTAACTTATGCTATATGAAGCTGAAAACTAATATCATAGCTATAGACTTTTGAGTTGCCATGTCAGAAATAAAAAATAGCTTAGCTTTTTTTGTTCTTTTTAATATTTAACCTTTTGTTGCATTGTTTGACATTTTACTTCTTTGGTCACAGTATTTCAGGAAACAACTTCCTCTGCACATCTTCCACACAAATTTGTATGGACGTTTCAAAACCTGTAAATGGTAATATACATTTAGCTTTTATCTGTTAAAACCCAAATATTCAGTGGATTGTACGACTCAATGATGGTTCAATTGCAGATACCGGATCATCTCAGAAAGTCAATATTCATCACCAAAGGGTGCTTTCTGTTGTTATTGGCTTTAGTTGCACATTTGTAATTTCAGTGATACTGCTTGTCTATTGGTTGCATTGGTACAGATCACGCATCCTCTATACATCTTATGGTACTTCCTAAAATGAACTTCTCTACTTTTTTCCTCCCTTCAAAACATGCATCTATTCTGACAATATGTACTGCTTGACATTTGAAGTGGAGCAAGATTGTGAATTTGATATTGGTCATTTGAAGAGGTTCTCCTTCCGCGAATTGCAAGTTGCTACTGGAAATTTCAGTCCAAAAAATATCCTTGGACAAGGTGGTTTTGGTGTTGTCTACAAAGGATGCCTTGCAAACAAAATGTTGGTGGCAGTAAAGAGGCTGAAAGATCCCAATTACACTGGAGAAGTGCAGTTTCAAACCGAAGTTGAGATGATTGGCTTGGCTGTGCATCGGAACCTCCTGCGTCTTTATGGATTTTGTATGACACCAGATGAAAGGTTACTTGTTTATCCTTACATGCCAAATGGCAGTGTTGCTGATCGCTTGAGAGGTTTGTTTCATATTAATAATGTCTGTACTTCAGGCTGTGTAAAATGTAACTGAAGTAGATACATGCCATCTTACAGCTGAAATTATAAGAGCTCTGTCTTCTAATCAATAACATTTAGTGTTTCGATGAAATAGGGTTTTTTCTGTGTTTGTTCATAATGTCCGTCATTTTCATTCGGCAGCACAGGATCTGTAATAATTATTAAATTGTTTATCTAGGAATATATATAAAAAAGATTTTTTTGATACCTCTAAAATTCAGGTAGATTCTGTATTAAATACATTTTTTTCCTCTATCAAAATTTAATGTCTCTACAGTTTAATGGATTTTCTCTTCTTCCTTATTCCTAAGCAGAAACTTGCCGTGAAAAGCCATCTTTGGACTGGAACAGACGGATGCGTGTTGCTCACGGGGCTGCGCGCGGGCTTCTTTATTTGCATGAACAGTGCAATCCAAAAATAATACACCGGGATGTTAAGGCTGCAAACATCTTGTTAGATGAAAGTTTTGAAGCTGTGGTGGGGGATTTTGGTCTTGCTAAGCTCTTAGATCAAAGGGATTCACATGTAACCACTGCAGTGCGGGGCACTGTAGGGCACATTGCACCAGAGTATCTCTCAACTGGACAATCTTCTGAAAAAACGGATGTTTTTGGATTTGGCATATTACTTTTGGAGCTCATAACAGGACAGAAGGCACTGGATGCTGGAAATGGTCAGGTGCAAAAGGGAATGATTCTTGATTGGGTGAGTAGTTTTAACAGCTCACCTTTTTATATGATGTCTTTTTTTGTCCCCTTGCACTGTAAGTAATCTTGACTCAAGACCATATAGAAGTTTTTATGTAAGATTGCATAGAACCTAGCTTGCTAAAAGTGTAGTAGCTTCATCTGTTTTATCCTTGCTGTGTGAAATTCTGAACCATCATACTGTGTATCTTGCTCAATATCTAGTTTCATGAAATGCATGACTTTTTATCCTTAAGTTTGCATTGACCACAAATTGAGTAACATTCATGCAGGTTAGGACCTTATTTGGAGAGAAGCGGTTGGAAGTGTTAGTTGATAAGGATCTGAAGGGATGTTTTGATCCAGTAGAGTTAGAAAAAGCAGTGGAGTTGTCTTTACAGTGTAGTCAGTCACTTCCCAGTTTGCGGCCAAAGATGTCAGAAGTCTTAAAGATTCTAGAAGGCCTGGTGGGGCAGTCAGTGCGGCCAGAAGAGTCACAAGGGGGGGCTAACCTATATGATGAAAGGACTTGCAGTTTCTCTCAAAATTACAGTGATGTTCATGAAGAACCTTCCTTTGTTATTGAAGCCATTGAGCTTTCTGGACCTCGGTGACAATTGAGTGTAGTCTGTTCCATTTTGCAAGTCTACATGTACATGAGTTTTTGCATTTTATCAGTATAGATAACATGTGTAGGAATTTATTTATTTTCCCTCACATTCCCTTTATCCTTAGGTTTGTTCAAAAGATTTAAAATGCTTATATTCTATTGAACTTTTAGGGAGTGTTTGGTAGAGGAAATTTTTTTTTTATTCATGAGTCTCGATTTTCAGAAATATGATAAAAACATTCAGTTTATGATAATATTCAAAAATTAAAAATTTAAAAAAATTTCAGTTTTTCGAGAATCCTGAAAAATACCTTGTACCAAACACTCCCGCATCTTTTCAGATAGAGCATATTATGTTTTTTCCCCCTTCTTTTAAATGTTTATTCTTAATTTGTGAAGCGAACTTAAGTCTATGACATTGTACAAAGAAATTCCTGAAATTGCAATCCCTTCAATAAAAAATTGTTTATAATGGAAGGTCAACTTCCGGCGCATTACGGATTTAATTATATGTAGGACTATGAAAATAATTGAACTAAGATCTCCACACCAATCCATATCCCATCATCACCAGCGTCACTTCTAGCCGCCAATTGAGACACTAATTGGTTCTCTTGTAGGACTATTTTCTTGTGAATTGTCTTCTTCATAACATTATAGCTGAAATGGGGAGCAATGCGTATCATTCTTGTATCTCTTTTGAAAATAAGACCACGAGGACCACGATACGATGCCGAAAGTGTATAGAAAAATGACTAAACAGAAAGTCTAAAAGAGTAATTCTCTTGTTCTCAATTATAATATTAAAATAACAAAATTTAACTCCTATTACAATAAGGGTCATAAGTATCTTTTTATAGACTAATTACAAATTGATCCAAAATTCAAAATTCAAAAATCCTAAAAATAATAAAACTTCATAAAATAAATAACAACAATTAACTTTTAAAAATAAACAAATAATTACAATTATTTTATTCAAAACACATCCCAAATTTTAGATCTCAAATCACGCCAAATGTGTTGCTTTCCTTTTCTTCCCAAACAAATCACAATCACATATGCTACTTTATTGTGACTTGGATTCGATGGTAATGTGTTATATTTCAAATCACTGCCTCTTTCAACAATTAGACCATACTTATTGGGCCACAACTCTAGTTGACTACGAGTTTCTTGAATCAATGGTTGAGCCATGTACAATGGGCCAACTATAAGTGTATCATTCTCTCTGCTAAGAAAATATTCGTCCTCGAATCTTGTTTATCTCCATTGATCTCAATTTCTTTAGACAAAAATTCAAATGATAAATCTTCCTCTATTAGATCTTCATAATTTGATTCACCATCAGATTTATTATAGACTGGATTATCATCATAAACTGAATCTTCATTATAAGATAGATAATTATCATAAATGGGATAATTATCAACAATCAGATAATCATCATAGATCGGATCATCATCACAAACTGGATTATGATCATAGACTTCAAAGTCAGGAATGCTGATTTGCATCTCGATGTCTTGAAAAGTGGACTGATTTCCAGGTCATACTTCCCAATTCTGTCCCTGGTTTAGAATCCCCAAGAGATTGACGTCCTCCTCTTCGTCATCAGATGCGCTCTCTAATTTCTTTCCTTCTTCTGATTGAGTGCCCAATTTTGTCCACGCAAGTCGCCGCTCCAAATATTGAATTTCCATGCTCTGCACCTCCACAAGAGTTCGCTTCAAAATTTGGATTTTCATGCATACCCGCACGAGTCGTCGTTCCAAATCTTGAATTCTCTTTTTCTGTGCCGGCACAAGTAGTAGCTCCAAAACTTGGATTTTCTTATCCAACGCTTGCTCAAGTTGGTGCTTCAAATCATGGATCCTCCTTCCGAGCTATTCATTTTCTATATCTCTCAGGTCGATCTGACGCAGTTGTCTATATTCTTTAGGAACGAATCCACGTTCCCTACCCTCGTGACTCTGCCATCGTCGACCTCTATGATTATGTTCAGCCATTGGTTGAAGGCAACCTAGTGCTTTGATGCCAAATGATGCCGAAAGCGCATAGAAAAGTGGCTAAACATAAAACTAGGATTTCACGAAAGAGTAACCCTCTGGTTTTGAATTATAATTATCAAAATATCAAAATTCAACTCCTAGAATAATAAGGGTCATAAGCACCCGTTTATAGACTAATTACAAATTGATCCAAAATTCAAAAATAAAAAATCCTAAAAATAATTGATATGCCTCCAGCATATGTAATATTTTAAGCCAAAAAGAGCAAGAATCTTGATCAATCTTGAATGAAAAAGCTCATAATTTCCAATAAATTGATAAATCCTAATCAGATATCTTGTCACTGATTTTCTTATATTTTTGTAGAAAAAAGTACAAGAAAAAGGCCCAATTGAGTAGCACAAAGATGGAATCACCGCGCTATTGGCACGGCCATGGCGATATCAGCGCCAACATCATCTTTCAACACAGTGCAACCGCGCTATCAGCGCGAGATTTGCGCTAGTAGCGCCAAGTTACTGTCTCCAAACATAAGTCCCACACTATCAACGCCAAACTGGCGCTAGTAGCGCGGGAGACACGTGACAATTTTAAATCATGCTTCAGAGGGTATCTGGAAAGGATTTTAAACAAGAGATATGATTAAGATTTGAAACTAGGAAACCAAGTCTATAAGAAGAGACTGGAAAACCCTGAGGAAAGGATATTTGGCTGGAGAAATTGTGAGAATCAAGAAATCGACAGAGTTATAAGAGTCTCACGCTGAAGATCAGGATTCTGCAGAATTTGAAGACTGAAGACAATTGATCCTTCTTCTTCATCTTCTTCTTCTTTTCTGTTCTTATTATGAATTCTTTTTATTTTGAATTGTTTATGTTAGAGATGGCTGGCTAATTTTCCTTTATAGTTGGGATCACGAATCCAATGTGAATCCTCTATATGTTTTAAATTGTTTTATAATTATTTTAATTTAATTAGTTTTATTCTTCCTGAGTGAATTTTTCCATATCTTTTTTAGAATTGATCGCTCTATTATAGGGTTTTGAGGGTTAGAGCTCACAATAGGAATATTGGAGTTTTAATTCTGACAATGGTAGAATAACAATATGTGCATGATCTACATATAGGCTTACATAGATTGCAGACTTTTAAATTCATCAGCTTAACGTTTGATTCAAGAGGGATCACTAGGACACTAGGGTTCTAATTGAGTTAAAAGGTTGAATACGCTAAGACATTAGGGTTCAACTATTTAATAGAAAAAAGATGAATTGTCTGAGCTAATGAGTTAATTGATTATAAAATTTAATTTAGAATTATAAGGGAGGATCGGAGGTGAAGTTCATCCTGACTGCAGTTTTTTTTTTTATTATTTACTCATACCTTCTTTGACGTTCTTAATTATTTCTTGAATGCTTTTAATTATTATTGTCTTTAAATTTCAGTCAACAATTACTAACTCAATTAAACTGAGTTTTCCAAATTAAAGGGACTAGTGAGAATAATAATTGGTGCAATAATCCTCGTGGGAACGATCTTTTCTTATCACTTTATTACTTGGAACGATCGGTATACTTGCTGATTTCGCAACAATAATGAAAATTCCTAAAATAACTATAACATCAATTAAATTTTAAAAATAAATAAATAATTACAATTATATTATTTAAAACACATCCCAAATTTTAGATCTCAAATCACGTCAAATGGGTTGCTTTCCTTTTCTTTCCAAACAAATCACAATCACATCTGATGTTTATTAGGACTTGGATTCGATTGTAATTTGTTATATTTCAAATCATTGTCTCTTTCAATAATTAGGCCATACTTATTGAATCACAACTCTAGTTGACTACGAGTTTCTTGAATCAATGGTTGGACCATGTACAATGGGCCAACTATAAGTGTATCATAATATTTCCTTGTAATGGCTATTAAGGAATCAGGATTGGAAATCATTTTTAGAATGTGAGTAAAGCATTGGCCACAGAAGTAAAAAAATTACACTATAGACCACATGTGGAAGAAATGGCATGAAAAAAATACGAAAGGGGAAGGGAGTTTATATAAGGGATGAAGTTACGGGTTAGGTTAGACGAACAGACAGGATGGTGCCATGTGGCAGCATCCTGTTAGACTTGTTGACTTGTACAACGAGTCCTTGTCCAACTCATTTTCCATGTGTCATGCGGATAAGGACCTACTATTAGCAACAACAAGTCTAGACCCACTGAGAAGAAAAAGGAAACAAAAAAAATAACAAAAGCTTTACCTTTTCACTCTTTTGTATATATAATTTGTATGTACAAATATATAGGAGAAAATGAAATATTATATCATCTGTATAATTAAAATAGCATTTGCTTTTCTTTATTTTTTCTTCTTGTTTTCCATTCTGATTTTGACTTTGAGGATTAACTTAATGATATAGGTCTGAAAGTCATCTTTGAAGGAAAAGAAAAGTGTGCATGTGCCTCTAACTTTGTAAAGAGCTTAATATGACCTCTCGTATACCCAAGTTTTGGGTTTGATTATGGTGTTTCAAGCCCACTTAATATTGTTGTTTACTTGGCCCATGGTTGGCGGTCTCTCCCCGCTATGAGCTTCCCACGTCGTTAAACATGAACCGTCTCCATATACTCAGCCCACCATCTCCATATACTTGGTCCAACCAAACCATTAGCTCTGATACCAGAGTTGAGAATGGTACGAGAAAGCCCAAAACCTTATACAAATGATACAGGGAGGCCCAAAAGCCTCTATAAATGATACCTCTAAGGTACAAACCACGATAAGTGAGCTGAAACCCAAAACCTTAAGGCTATAGGTCTATGGGTCTTTTGCACTTATATGGCCATCATTTGATCTATGTTTAGCCAATGCGGAACTTATTTCACCACTACTCACTCACACTTGATTATTTTCAACATCTTCCCCTTAAGTGTGAGTTCCAATATCATTCTCCTTCCTAAGGGCAACTTATGCGGAAGTCTTTTTGTAACATCCCGTTCTACAACCGGTTTGTTAACATTGCTTTATGATATTAAGCGCAGTTATAATCATATGGGTTCAATTAAGAATACAGATAAATTTTTACTTGTAAAACGTTGCTCATTTCCTTTATTAACAAGACCATAATTTAATCTACCAATTTCGTGATTATAACCGTGTGAAGTTGCGGAATAACTAAAACTATGCTTAACATCATTTACTATCTTTATTAGACCTAATTAGAAGGTCCCTATTACTTATTTCAAGAGATAATGGCTTTTTCTTAAAACTGGGGTTAGGGGCTTAAGCCCCCTCAGGCAGAGGATTTTTCAATTTCTATTCGAAGAGAAGGCTTAAGCCCCCTGTGCGCACTTAAGCCCCCATTCTGGGCACTTAAGCCCCCTGAGGCAGAGAGTTTCTCCACACAGGTGCACTAGGGCGCTTAAGCCCCTTGTGCTCGCTTAAGCCTCCATTTCCAGGGCTTAAGCCCTCTCCATCTGGGCAAAACACTAAATTTCTGTTTTCATGTATTTTTCTTACGGAATTAAATCCCTCACACCATATGGCCAAATTTTTTTAATTAGATATTTTACTTCTTTCAACCCGCTAATACAAGATTAATTGCCTAATTACATGTAATTAATTAAAAATTATGGTGAGGGATATTATACTTTTCTCTTCAAATATAAAGGTCACACTAGCCTTCTGCGAATGCCTCTTCAAGTGTATCACCATGATTATTTCCAACAGTGGTTGCTTGCGGAAATCGAATCGAGCAAATTCTATCAGATGATTGTAACGCCTGGCAACATGCAAGGATTAACGACTGTCCCCACACACTAACACGAGACTTTTCAGCGTGCTTTGTCTTCACTCGCACACTTCCCGGGAAAACTTCCCAGGAGGTCACACATCCCAGAATTTCCCCAAGTCAAGCACGCTTAACTGTGGAGTTCTTCCGATCCGGGCTACCGAAAAGTAGATGCATGTACCAATTAATTCTTATAAGCTATTCCCAACTGTACCGTCCCATACCAGCACAGTCTCTAGAATCCCTCTCTTTCAGGTGTTGATTCGATTCATTCATGTACCCCCGTCCCTAGAAGCCTGCCAGGAGCCGCTCCTTGTCCATGCCATTTCGCACTGGCGATCACTCCCCGCCCTTGTCAGCGCCCGGGATGTTACATGCCCACCAGCTTCCGCCTGGTTCGTCCTCAAACCACACCCTACTGGAAGAGAGGCCCTGCTCTGATACCACTTGTAACTCCTAGCAACATGCAAGGATTAACGACTGTCCCCACACACTAACACGAGACTTTTCAGTGTTCTTTGTCTTCACTCGCACACTTCCCGGAAAAACTTCCCAGGAGGTCACTCATCCCAGAATTGCTCCAAGTCAAGCACGCTTAATTGTGGAGTTCTTCCGATCCGGGCTACCGAAAAGTAGATGCATCTTGTTAGTATAGGTAGTACCAATTAATTCTTATAAGTTATTCCCAACTGTACCGTCCCATACCAGCACAGTCTCTAGAATCTCTCTCTTTCGGATGTTGATTCGATTCATTCATGTACCCCCGTCCCTAGAAGCCTGCCAGGAGCCGCTCCTTGTCCATGCCCTTTCGTACCGGCGATCACTCCCCGCCCTCGTCAGCGCCCGGGATGTTACATGCCCACCAGCTTCTGCCTGGTTCGTCCTCGAACCACACCGTACTGAAAAAGAGGCCCTGCTCTGATACCACTTGTAACGCCTGGCAAAATGCAAGGATTAACGACTGTCCCCACACACTAACACGAGACTTTTCAGCGTGCTTTGTCCTCACTCGCACACTTCCCGGGAAAACTTCCCAGGAGGTCACCCATCCCAGAATTGCCCCAAATCAAGCACGCTTAACTGTGGAGTTCTTCCGATCCGGGCTATCGAAAAGTAGATGCATCTTGTTAGTATAGGTAGTACCAATTAATTCTTATAAGCTATTCCCAACTGTACCGTCCCATACCAGCACAGTCTCTAGAATCCCTCTCTTTCGGGTGTTGATTCGATTCATTCATGTACCCCCGTCCCTAGAAGCCTGCCACGAGCCGCTCCTTGTCCATGCCCTTTCGCACCGGCGATCACTTTTTCCTCACTCGCACACTTTCCAAGAAAACTTTCCAGGAGGTCACCCGTCCCAGAATTGCTTTAAGTCAAGCACGCTTAACTATGGAGTTCTTCCGTTCCGGGCTACCGAAAAGAAGATGCATCTTGTTAGCATATGTAGTACCAATTAATTCTTATAAGCGATCCTAAACTGTGCAGTCTTATATCTGCACAACCTTTGGAATCCCTCTCTTTCGGGTGTCGGTTCGATTCATTCATGCATGTAACCCCACGCTGGAAGCCTGTCAGGAGCCGCTCCTTGTCCGTGCCACTTTGCACCGGCGATCACTCCCCGCCCTCGTCAGCGCCCGAGATGTTACAATGATCACCACTTCTCACTAATTCTGGGGAGTGACCATTTTGCCACGCCTGACAAAAAAATTTACCAGTCTGCCACGTTAATAGTAAATTTTGTCAAAATGCCACGCGGCATATTTCGCTACACTGTGTAGCGAAATATGTTTGCATATAATTCGCTACACAGTGTAGCGAAATATGCCATGTCAGGCTGCACAGTCAGCAAAGATGACACGTGTCAAGCAGGCAGAATCCAAGCATAATTCGCTACACAGTGTAGCAAATTTCTGCTTGCTTGACACGTGTCATTTTTGCTGACTGTGCAGCCTGACATGGCATATTTCGCTACACAGTGTAACGAAATATGCCGCGTGGCATTTTGAAAAAATTTACTGTTAGTGTGGCAGTTTGATAAATTTTTTTGCCAAACGTGACAAAATGATCACTATTCCCTAATTCTAACTAGAGAGTATGGGATGAAGTCAAGCCAATTTTTATAAGGAGCTTTACCCTTGCAAAATTCACAAACAAGTGACAACTATATTACATCCTCAGCTTTGGCAATTTACCATATTAAAATCTTAACAAATATTCAAAAGTTGTCCATATTCTGACTATAACTACAGAATACATAGCATAGAACCCCTATAATCAGAAGCAGTTGAGAGATAATGGACAAATATAAAGCAAACAAACTACCTAACATGTGGAATTTAAACATCATTTACGAAACAAGCGACAAAAAACCAACTTTTGAAATGAACCACACTAGTATCCAGAGGAATCTAGAAAGAAACTCTTGCATATCATTTCTTTCGAACTGATAATGGTAAATACAGTGAAAAGCTGATGCATTCATTCCTGATCTGTCTAGCATGTAGCAAGTCTCAATCGATCATCTTCCTACACACACACGCTTAAAAAGTAACAAATTAACAACGTACACAAAAAAAGAAAGGGGGATAGGGTAACGAGAACAAATTATTGGATAATATTTATTTTCTAGCTAACATAAATTGCGACCAGTAGTGGGAGTGACTAGTCCCTAACAAGCAAAAACCTGAAAGAATCCAAATAGTGTTTTTCTTGTTCCTTACCTTAAAATAAAAAGGGCATTTTTTGAGGTCCGTGGAAATCTCTCCAACTTCACCACATCCATAGGAGCTGACTCCCTAGTTAGGTGTTTCCGGTCACGTCACCAGCATGAAGTAGACACACATTACACACTTGCCCCCACTTCCCCATTACAACCGGCACTCATTTCACAAACTGTTGTTGCATATGATATAAGGGTTTTATTATTCTCCTTATGTATCTTATGTTGTAGAGATAAAATGAGTAGGTCCCACCATTATAAGAAAAAAGAAAAAAAAAAGAAAAGATGAGGTGCGGAAATCGAAGTGAGAGAGTACGAGAGAAGTAATCTTATGTAAATTGAGAGTAATATTTCCCCTGATATAACAGTATTGAATGAGAATTATTATTATTATTATTTTTTTAAATTCTGCAAATAAATTAATAATAAATATTCACACCATTTATATACGTATATTTATATAGTCATCCCTATCTCTTCTACTCTCTATTTGTAAAAGGCGTTTATGCTAACACCGTCCCTATAAAGACTAACTCTTTGTTTCTTATCCTTTGCTTTGTTCACTAACCCATTTTTCAACGAATGATTCAATTGTACTCAATCTCCTTGATACTGTTTTTCCCAGTTCCTTTCTTCACCTAACCCTGCTTCTATTTCCCCACTTTAAATAAATTTATTTCTTCCACAAACTACCTGAAGCAATCCACGCAGGTTTTACCTGGCGTGGGTTGGATTGAAACACACATGAGATTGAACTTGTTTCTATAATTTAATATTTAAGGTAAACCCCTTCTCTTTGCGGCTGTTTTGCGGCTTGTTTCATTGGGAATTGAGGCCATCCATCTAATAGGTGACATCCCAAATTTCCAATTTTTTTAATGATTTGTAAATAATATCTGAAGGTTATGTCTCAAATCAGGAAGTGGGTTGTTGAAAGATATGTATTTTCCACCTTTCATTTGATCACATTGTTCATCCTCTGTAATTGAAAAAGAAGCTTTCTTTCCCTTTTTTTTTGTGGTGGGGGTTTATGCTGTGGCGTGTATGTGTTGTTTGGAGTTGTTTCTTTTCAGGTTTGAGAATATTTGAGTGAAACGAATTGTTAATGGATCAAACCAGAAGCGAAGGCAAAAGTGAGGTATTGGATCCTGTTCGTGAAGGGGTAAATAAGAATTTGAGTCTTTCGGTTGAAGGGGTTGCAATTGATGCAGTAGATGGAGGCAGCTTGGGTGACAGAGTTAGTATAAGTGGAGAAGTTGGGACTTCAGGAGAGATGTGTAAGGATTCGGGATCCAATAAGGAGCTAAAGGATGTGCCTGAGGAAGTTAAGGTTCAGGACAAGGTTGATCAAGTAAATATCATTGATAAATTGCCTGGGATTGATCAAGGAACTAGTTATAATTCAAACAATTTCGTTAATCAGGAAGTGCTTGAGACTGTGGTTGTAATAGAGTCTGTTCAGACTGAGTATGTCAATAGAGATAATAGGAAATCGGAAGCAAAAGCTAATGAATCAGAGTTGAACTTGTTATCCATGAAAGCTCAAAAGGGGATGTCTGAAACAGATAAAAATTCATTTGTAATTGATATGAAGAGCAGCAGCCGCAAAGGGTTTTGTGAGAATTCTGAAGGTGAAAGGATTTGTAGGATTTGCCATCTGGCTCCTGATGCGACCACTGTTGGCTCTGCTAATAGTGCTACGAGTGCAGATTTGATTCAGCTTGGTTGTGCGTGTAAAGATGAGCTAGGCATTGCACATATTCATTGTGCTGAGGCGTGGTTCAAGCTTAAAGGAAACAGGTATCTGTTCCTGCCAAATATCAGTTTGATTCTAGTTTGTAGATCAACAATAACATCAATGTGTTTTTTGAGCTGAGGTTAATTGTGGGTTAGCCATAAACATGATTAGTAAATTACTATTGTTTGTGAGCTGAGGTTAATTGACATCCGAATGATGCCATCAAGGCCCAATAAGGCAACTAACAAATTTTTGCCTTTAATTATCATGTACATGTTATTTGTTTATGTTATTTGGAAAAGGGCTCTTGTGGTTGTCTTGGTGAAGATTCTTTTGATAACAATCTTCTTTAACCCCCTTTTTCCTAGAACAGAAATGTGAACTAGTTTTTCATGGAATATTTCTGAGATTCCTTTGTTCTAACTTCTAAGTCAGTTCTATTGCTAGAGGCTAAATATGAAAATTTGTCCCATGTCAAGTAAGAGCCATTTTGTTACATTCTGTTATAAGTCTTCATTGTCAATCCTAATTCTTGTATCATATATAACTTAGTTTTTCATTGAATAATTTTGAGGTTCATTTGTTCTTTGTTAGTACTGTTGCTAAAGGCCAGCTTTGGAAAATGGTCCCATGTCAAGTGAGTGCCTTTGTGTAACAATCTGTTATCAAATAAATTATTTATTAGCTACCTTTTGTAACCACAGATTATGTGAAATATGTGGTGAGACTGCAAAAAACGTTTCTGGTGTTGCTAATAATGGATTTATGGAAGAGTGGAATGAAAGAAGGTTCAGGAACAACGATGGTAACCCATGTGGATGCTGGCGAGGACAGCCATTTTGTAACTTCTTGATGGCATGCCTGGTAATAGCTTTTGTTCTGCCATGGTTTTTTCGTGTAAATATGTTCTAGCTGGGGAATCAAACACTATTATTCTTGCCTTCAATTCTTCATACCTGCTAATATAGTGGAGTGGATGATTGGTTCGTGGTATGCATGCTGTGACGCATCATCGAATTTTAGTGGGATGTTTATACTTAACCATGTGTCTAAGTTGACATTCTCAAGGTGTGTGCCCTCAAGATGTGAAGCTTACATATAAACCAGCTTGACAAGTGATCACCAAATTGTTTCCTTGTTGCATTCTTTGGATTGTGTGTGTTGTTCTGATGTAAATACTAATACATCCGGTTCTTTTTTCTTTTTTTAAGAAAAAAAATAAACATAGAATGTATTTAACATTTGGTGGCGATAAATCTTATTTGTAAAGTTAAAGAATTTGCTGCAGAACAAACTGAAAGAGCCTCTCCTTGTTCCTTTCTCTTTTCCATTTATTTTACTTACCTTTGTTGTTGACTTGTATGCTACAATCCAAAGAGAATTGGTTGTCTTGATGTGGTTATCAGAGCTGTTTATATTTCCTTCTTTTTGTATCAAACTTTTGCAAATTTTTCTAACCTACAATTCAAAGAGCATTTTTTAATATATTTGGCTCTATGTCATCCTAATATAGTTTCAGGTATTCTGGGGTAGGTTGGCTAAATTGGTTCAAATTCCTCTTTTGACTAATAATAGTCTTGCATGGTGCTCATCAATATTTAGGTAGATCCATTAAAAACTTAGGTGGATGACTAGCTTCCTTTTAGGATATGAAATAATCTTTTGGTGGGCCTTTATCTTCTTATTGTAAAGAACTTTGGGATACACCACCTCAAAAATTAACTCAAAGGGTTAGGAGTGCTCAAGGCCTTATAAACTCCACATTAGTTGCACGTACAACCAATGTGGGACTATATATCTCAACACGCCCCCTCACACGAGAGCCCATTGGGCTTGAAGAGTGGACAATGCAACAGGCCCATCCTACCTGTGCTAAGAAACGCCACAAGAGAAAGTGGGGAGCGGCGAGGCTCTGATACCATGTAAAGAACCTTGAGATACACCACCCTAAAAGCTAGTTCAGAGGGTGGGAGTGCCCAAGGCCTTATAAACTCCACATTAGTTGCACATACAACCAATGTGGGACTATATATCTCAACACGCCCCCTTACACGAGAGCCCATTGGGCTTGAAGCGTGGATTATGCACAGGCCCAATTTTTGGTTTACCTTCTTGTGCTTTTTTATTTTAATCCCACTTTAAAGTGAAGGACGGTGATGATCGAATTTGTGACCTTATAGTCACTCAAGCTCTGATACCATGTAAAGAACTTTGTGATACATCACCCTAAAAGCTAGCTCAAGGGGTGGGAGTGTCCAAGGCCTCATAAAGGTCATATTAGTTGCCCATCCAATCAATGTGGGACTATATATCTCAACACGCCTCCTCACGCAAGAGCCTTTTAGGCTAGAAGCGTGGAATTTTTATTTTTATTTTAATTCCACTTTTTAAAGCGGGGGATGGTGAGACTCTGATACCATATAAAGAACCTTGGGATACACCATCCCAAAAGCTAGCTCAAAGGGTGGGAGTGCTCAAGGCCTTATAAACTCCACATTAGTTGCACATACAACTAATGTGGGACTATATATCTCAACACTTATTTTTTCCCTCATCTTTCTTTGAGACAAAGAATGTATAATTATTAATTTCAAAAAAAAATAAAAGAATGTATAATTAAGTTGATTTCATAGCAAAGTATTCTCATATAGTACGGACTTCATTATATAAATGATCTCGCCCTTGAATTATGAATATTCAATTCAGAATTCATTCTACGTCACCTTGACTTAAATATAACTAGTCTTGCATTTTAAATATAAGTTGAGTTTTATTTTAAAATATAAGTAGCATCGGTATACGTCCCTTCTTATATATTAATAGGAGGTCCAAAGACCAGAGGAAGGAAAAGGGATAAAGAGAGGGTATCAGGGTACGAATCCTCTATCATTAGGACATTCCGAAGATTGGGTCAAGTGCGAGTCACAACTCATTGGCTTATGATTTATTTATTTTATTCCTTTTTTTTTTATTGGGTGAACAAAGTCTTGATTATGGTTAATGACGAATAAATCTTTGGTGCTACTGTTACACCAAGATTTAGTGCATCTCACCAATGAGATCATTACACATCATAGGAGAGAGAAAAAATTTGGCAGAGAAAAAAAAAACTTTAACTGATATGTAATATTTCTATTGGTGGAATGTACTAAATCTTTGGTGCAATAGTGATAAAGCACGTTAGACCACGGAATAATATGTAACAATGTTTGTTCTTGAAAAAGTTTAATTACATAAACTAAATTGGAAAAGGTTATATTTACAATTTATTTTATAAATTTTTATAAATTATATTATGTACTAGGGATATTACATTATGTACTAAAATGTACTACCCCGTTTACCAAAAAAAAAAGCACTACCTCTACATAATATAGTTTGTAAGAATTTATAAACAAAGTTTATAAATATAATTTTCTCCAATTAAATTTACACAAAAAGATGAAACATATAACACACTTTTCAGAATTAAGAAATCAGATAATTGTGCAGTGCCTCACTTGAGACTCAATTATCAAAATAAATTATTTATGAGCCAATGTTTTGTAAATTTGTTCCCCATGGTACTAAATTGTAAACCATAACTTCTACGATTGAATTGAGCACTGAATAATTGATCTAATTTTTCAAGCTTAACGCTGCTGCAAATATTGTTAGTGTGCCTTCAATAAGTCAAAGATGTGGTTCACTAATTTTTATTAATATTGAGTGCCCAAGTACTTCATTGATTTTCTGCAATCACTCTAACCACTTTTACACTTTTTCAACAACTCCACAACGGTAAAAAATTCTCAATAGCCATATTTTGTGCACATTATTATTAACTGACACCTTGATGGTAAGGGTCTATATATATGGTGTGACTTCATACTTTTGGAGTTTCTGAACTCACTCTTGGATTAATGCTATACTCCATATGTGCTTAAGAGCGAGAGTCTGGAAGACTCACAAATTACTCACGGACACTTCAACCCATCTTGGGAGCAAGCAAGGAAAACAATGGAAGGAGTTATTTATGACTTAGTTTTTTTGCATATGATCTAATTGCTTCTATTGTGTATGAGCATGATTAGATCATAAGGCTATATTAGAACTTAAATTTAATATCATAGCCCTTTTTGTCTCTGCCTTGTGTTTATGTGTTTGGTTGTGTCTCAATTAATTTGATTTTTCAAATTAATATTTAGTGCCTTGCAAATGAAAATAAAATTGGAAATCGTATGGAATAAAGATTTCTTATATTTCTGGACAAAAATTATACGCAAAATTGGTTGAAAATCGTTGGGTTTTTATATTGGGTCGGAGTGACTCGACTGGAGGTTGAAGACGTTGGAATTGTAACACTTTCATTGTTGTGTTACTGTGCACCTTTTGTTACTGTGTGTGAATCTTTTGGTTTTTGTTTCATCATCTTGGTTTCCTTGAAAATTGCTTTGTTGACATTTTGGTTTTATTGTTCCCACTATTGCATTTCAAATTTGTGGTTTAATTGAAAGTATGTTTTTCGGTGAATTGTTTCGTGGAACGTGCACATTTTGAAATTTTTGACAATGTTACTATTCATGGTTTGAAATTGACAATGTTATTGTTCATAGTTTGAAATTTCTCACAATGTTACTGTTTATGGTCTGAAATTTTTGACAATTTTTCACTATTTCAATATTCATGTGGTATTTGCGTGAGAAACCCAAGTGATATAATTGTTTCCAATATTTGTGAATAGTGGACCTATTAGGGTGTTAGCATGAATTCACCTTCTATTATTGTGTGAATTGATTTTCATATTACTGTTATTAGTTTGGATTGAAGCATTTTGCTAATTGAACTAATGACAGTTTTATAATATGTATTAACATAAATTATTATTATTCTGTCATTATATGTATTAATTCATGTCACTCTATACATGTAATATTAAGATGATTACTGTGAATGGTTAATTATTATTTTTTGGTAAATGAATGGTTAGTTATTTAATATTATTGCTTATGGTTAATTGCAACAATATAATAAAGAATATTTTTTTTTGATAGCCAACAAGGTCAGAGCTCCAAAGACAGAACACCAAAACAGAAACAGAAGCTACTAGATCACCAGAGCTCACGGTCTTCCCACTCCAGTAAGATCAGCCAGATAAATAACGTGAATGCGGTGGTGGTTCTTCACAAAAAAGATATTGCACTACCTCATCATGCTCCAAGATAAAATTTGCCATATGATTTATATAATTTAATTAATTAAATCTTAGCCATAACAACTTTAATTATATACTAAGGTAGATATATTAATTGCGAATAATCATATATAATATAATAGATACCATCCCACAAGAATTTCTATTATAATTTTGAATGATTAATTAGGATAAATATAAAATTATATTCTTGATTTGCCCAAAAGGATTAGGAAATATAATTCGATAGTTTTGTCATGATATTTATATGAATTTAATTGAATTAAAATTTTATCTCACAACAAATTTTATCTCACTAAATTCATAATTTTTTAGCATGATTTATATTGGTAAAGCATGATATATTACTTTTTGCCTTAGATTTTAATGATAAGTATATATGTTCAATTTTTTGTAGCTATACAGCCTATAAATTCTATTGGTGTTTCAGAATTGAAGGGGACAATTATGCTATCTAGAAGGAAATGATTCTATTGACATTAGGGTATATAGACATGATTATGCTATCAGAAAGCTGAACAATCAGCAATTGCGGAGAACAGTAAGCCAGAGGAGATGGATCTGTGTGAAAAATAGGAGAGATCCAACCGACTCTGTGTGATGTTCATTAAGATAAAGATATTAACTGGTATTATGGGTTCGGTGGAAAAGTAGGATAATGTGAGAGTGCTCCTGAAGTCCACTGATGAACAATTTGAAACTTCATGAAAGACATTAGCCAGTGCCTTAGTAATGAAATTTTCTTCCATAAAGCTCACTACTTTTTGGGTGCATATGTCTGACTTTTTTCTTGTCCACTTTATTGTGAATACTCTCCCAGCACCCTATGGCCCCTTTAATATTTCTTATAACACACATAAAGACAAATGGTCTATCAATGAACTCATGACCATGTGCATTCAAGAAGAGAGAAAGCTGCAGTTGGAAAATGAGAGAATTCATTGATGACGATAGAAAATAAAGATAATAAGAAAGGCTATAAGAACAAAGGAAATGGTAAAATATCACCCCAAGTTGGAATTAAGAAAGAATCTAGGTGTTTCTTCTGTAATAAGAAGGGGCACATAAAGAAAGATTTTTCTAAGTTCAAGCTATGGTTTGAAAAGAAAGGTATACCTACCTCTTTAGTTTGTCATGAAACTAATATGATTAATATTAATCATAATACATGGTGGATTGATTCCAGTTCTACAATCCATGTTT